TGGCATTGTTTTGTTCAGGTCTGAACATTTCAAAAATACAAGTTGTCTTGTATTTTTTCTAGTTCCTCTTTTTCCCTCCAACTAAACAGTTCTGCTTCATAGAATAAAATTTTTTAATACCTGATCGTACAAGAACAATTGATTTTGAAAATCGTCTTTAAAAAGGTTTTCTTCTATATTTTAAATTTATTCTAAGGCCAAATTCTTTTTCTTGCTGTGTCAGGTCTTCATTTTTTAAAATTTTATCCGTAAGTACCTTTTATTGTGTCAGTTCACTTATTCTATTTTCAAATTCTTGTCTGTATGCTCTTATTGAAAATTTTCCTTTTCATCTGCATTCCATTACTTTCACCATTACTTTCTGGAAATCTATTCCCCTTATCATTATTTCTTTCAGTTTTCCCACTGTACTATCTTTTATTTATCAATCATATCATGATCATATAAAAATTTTTTTTCTCAGTTTACTTTTACCTCTTATAGCAAAAATGCTTATCTTCCTACATTGCATTTATAGGGATATTTTGTTTATCTTCCTAACCCGATTCGAAGTCACATTTAACTATTAACATTAAACGATAGTTTACATATACCTATTTCTATCATGACCGGCCTCTAAAAAATTATATTTTTTGTAATGAATTGGATACTAGCTTAAATTATCAAATTACTTTTATGTAATGACAAGTTAAATTTATCTTTTTTTATTTTATATATATAAACATGAGCAAAAAATAAAATGATGTTTCAGTCAGTTTTCTTCTTTTAAAAATAAATAATGCGTGTCTTATTCACCGCATTTTTTGCAAATCATATAATAGGTATCTCGAATTTACATTTACCACATACATATTTTTTACACCTCAAACAAATTTTGTTAGTTTTATTATCTTTACAATGATCTCATTTGACAAATTTTCCATACAATGGGACTCTACTTATATTCATTGTTTTTTTCTGTACTTCTTTGTTTACTTCTTATAATTCTTGAAATTTAGAGGCAAGTTCTTCTGTTAATTGGAGTAAAAATACTTGCCTCGAAATTATTTCTCTTCTTTTTTTTTTTTTTTTTTTTTTTTTTTT